ATAGGCCTCACGAACGAAGCACAAGTGCCGATCATGGTGCCATTGGCGAGCAGCGACCAGGGCTTCTTGCTGATGATGTGTCCTCCGGCCAAGTGACTGCGCGCGAGACCAGAGCTTGCAAACCGGAGTGAGCAAGAGTTCTTCGGGCATCTCATCATCGAGGAGGTCAGGAACTGCTGTTGGTGGTCGATGGAGTTGAAGTTCCAACCAGTGTCCAACGAGAACTGCCTGGTTTCCATGCCAAAGACGGCTGCCATCTCAGAAGTGCGGGCTTTTCCACAGTACACTTCCCATAGAACTCTTGGTCTTGGTGGTCGATGTAGTTCTTGAGTGAGATAGGCAGACATGCCGTTGATGTTGGTCAGGTGCACGTCCATGGTCTTCAGCAGTTGACCTTTGATTCGATTTGTCTGGTCCTCCTTTGTCACATGTCCATCATGGACTTGGAAACTGTGCTTGACGAAGTCCGGGAGAAAGTAGCCGTCCTGTTGGTGCACATCAGGGTCGTTGGTCTTCAGCTCAAACTGTGGCTTGTCGGGGTCATATTCAATCAAGTCGTGCTCGAAGGTGAGAGGCCACAGATATTCGCCCTGACGACCAAGTGTGGCCGGCTGCCACGGAGATCCGCCAATCTTGAGCCTCTTGTTGGCGAAATCCATTGTCATACCCAAGGCTTCGATGATGGGTCTTCCGCAAAGCAAGGGCGTGTTGCCCGGCAGCAAGAACACTTCAACTGTCCCGTACTTGCCATCCACAAAGACCGGGAGATGGGCGCTCCAGTCGGACCATTGAGATGCATCCCCACCGAACTGAAATCGTCTCCGGCCTTTTGTCATCTTGATGAGGTCGGTGGGATATCCGAGATCTTCATAGTGCTCCAGCAGCTTGCGAAAAGGACCATAACCTGACAGGAATGCGCTCGCACCGGGATCCAACATAGCGCAATCAGGTCGCTCCAGGCCATAGGCGTCCTGGAAGGTGAGGAGCGCAAGTTCTTCGGGTTGAACTGCAAAAGCCATGCCTTCAGTCGGAGCGGGCCTCTTCGTTCCAGCTTTGGAAGCTGAGCTGCTTGCACCTTGTGGGCAGTTGGCTGCCCAATGGCCAGGTTGGCCGCATCTCAAAAAGGTGAGTGCTGCACGAGCTCTTCCTTTGGGATCAGCTTTGCCCGCACCTTGAGGTGGGTAACGAATTGTCGTCTTGCCCTTTTAATTTGCCAGACTTGGTGCCCCCTTTTCCTTTCCCCTTGGAGCGCCAGGAAGAGGGTGATGAGGTAGCATTGGATGCCGGAGACACTGGCACTTGTGAGCCTTCAGTCAAAGCTACCACCGGAAGATATCCTCTGGCCATCTTCAACTCTTGGAACCGCTTCCGAGCGTCTGTGTACGAGGCAAAGGCGTGGTCGTACTCTTCAGCCATGTGTTGAGGGCTGACAGGCTCGGAGTCGGGATCAGGCCATTGTTCATCACCATAGTAGCCTGCTTCATTCTCGAACTCTTCGGGCTCCTCAGGCTCATGGTCATAGTCCTCGTAGGAGGCATAGGTGGGTTCCTCAATCCAATCACCTTCATAGTAACCTGACTCCCATGGCTCTTCATCATCATAGTCTTCGGCCATGTAGGCTCTGTTGTTGCGCCATGGGGCATAGCCGAATCGCTTGCGATCCATAGGCCAGGTTCCTCCTTTGAAGTCTTGACCTAGCAGCAAGTAGAGGGCCTCAATCACGTCCTTCTTTTCCAAACTTGGGGCCTTCAGCGTCACCATCTGGCGCTGTTCCTTGGAGATGGAAGCGGGCCTCAACAAATGCCAGCCCTGAACTGAGGCCGGAAGTTCGACCTTGCGCTGTTGGAGCTTCCTGTATAGGCCTCTTCGTGGTCGGCCACGAACATCAACAGAGTCTGGCCGCTTGTACGTTGGAGCAGGTTGAAGTAGCCCTCAAAGTCGTTGGGCAACTGCACTCGGGCATCGTATTGGAAGTTTGCATCCAACGTAGCAATGATGCGGTCGAAGGAGGATTCCTTCTCCAGCTCCTCGAGGCTCCAATCCTGGAAGAGTCTCCAGGTGACTCCTTGGAAGGATCCAACGATGTTCAGGACAGACTCGTTGCCTCTCTTGGTGAGCATCATCTTGCGATGATAAAGATGGATCCGCTGGCACCATTCTCTGTAGTCGGCCGGTTGGCCTGAGAAGGTGGGAACATAGCTATCTCTCAAATCCGTGTAGCCGCCTCCACCATCTCGTGAGCCGGAGGGTGAGAGCTCTTCAATCACCTGCTTGGTGGTTGGGGTGTTGAGGTAGCCAGTGCACGAAACCAAGCAAAGGTGGAGGCAAACACAAAGAGCTCTTCGAACCGTTCTTGACCCTGGTCTTATCCCAAACCGTCGGCTCGTCGTCGCGAAGTGCGCAGCGGAGCCCCTTCACAGGGCTCCGCTACCAATGTAGCGAACGCGTTCCAGCAAACGAGGTCCGGAACCACGAAAAAGCAAAGGTGGCGTCGAAACGCCGCACCGCGCCGGTTTTACTCGATTTGAGCCCGCCCAGCTAGAGCGGTTCGGGGTCTGTCGATCGAACGAAACACATCGCTCAGCGAGCGATTCACACGTGGAATATAAGCACGCTAAACTACAGGCATAGCTGGTCCGATTCTCGAGATTGATGACTTGCTGACAAGCCCTGTGCCCACTCAATGGTTGATATGCCAAAATCATCCGCCTTAGGAATCTTGGGATTTTATCCTTGTAAAAACTTGCGAGCCAAGAATCTGAGAATCTCTAAGAATCTAGGAAATTGTTATTCTCAGGTCTGGCGCAGCGCCCTCTAGAAAATGAACTGCTTTATATTGTTTCTTTGGCCTATTCCATTCACAGTGCAACCTGTCCAAAACCATATATTATATCATTCTCGAGATGCACGAAAGCATGACGATGAGACAATGAATCCTTGACTACTTCCTAGAATGCCTTGGATTGTCTAGAGGGTTTTTTGTCATGGCCGGAACCATTTTCTAGGCAAACATGCATGCCCCGTTTTCTCTAGGTAGAGAACCATTGGAACCATTGCTTAAAGCATGATTGAATTCTGCAGTAGCAGTAGCAGTGGCAGTAGCAACAGGAGTAGTAGTAGTAGTAGTAGTAGTAGTAGTAGTAGTAGAGTAGTAGTAGAGTAGTAGTAGTAGTAGTAGTAGTAGTAGTAGTAGTAGTAGTAGTAG